GGTTCAGAAAGCAGCACTGAGTATCTCTCTGTTTACCAAAAGCAGCATTTGAAATTGAGTGGACCTTTTACTGAAGCATAAGTGAAGTATGTAAAGCATTTGGCTCTTACTGGGTATCCTGAATTATCAATCACCAGTACTCTTGCAAAAAAAAGAATGGTGAGAGGAATATTCTGATGATTAAGAGGTATCAAACAGTACTTGGGCTACCTGGTGACATTTGCTGTGGTGGGGCTTCAGCAGTGAGTGAGCAGAGGCACTCCCCTGTCACTGTAGACATGTAGATGTAGAGATGAGCCCTGTTGGGAGTTTGAAGGACATGGGTTTGTTTAGTCTAGCACTGTCAAGCCTAAGGTAGGATTGATTTACATTTTTAGATAGCAGTCTGTTAATGAGTGTAGGAAAGAGGAAATCCGCTTTCTTGTCAGTAGGTGACTTAGGCTGGCAGGTGGACACAGCGCTTCAGCTGGGGGCAGCAAAGCACAGAAGAGACTGGGCAAGAGCTGCTGGATGAGCTACAGCAACACCGCTGGTACCCAGGAGTGGGCTGCACAGTACCAGTGCCACACAGGCTCGGGTCTAGGACTTTCTCTGGCCAAGGCTTTCAGTCCAGCAGCCCAGGAAGTGCTGCTGTTGCTACCAGGATGGGAAATGCAGCATTAATTGCAGTGGTGTGAGGCCTGGCATGGAGAGAGCACGTGAGAGAGGCAGGAGGGTGAGGAGCAGGAAGCCAAGCAGCAGGGAGGACCTTCCCTAACCACCCCTTAGCAACCAACACTTGCATACAGAGTCTCTCTGAGACAAAGTAGATTCTGACAAGTCATGATCACTTTATTTTAGAAGTTGACAGGATTTTGACATAAACAGAAGAGACTACATAGTTAAAAACTGAAGCTGCAACAAGCTGAAAGTAGAAAAATATACTGTATGTTGATACAAAGGCTTGTTAAACTAGTTAACATTATAAAATGTACCAAAAGTTGTTTGTATAAACACATACAATGTGTTAACGTGCATTCACTTCATCCTTTGAACTCCAGCTAAGCAGTAATTTCTGATGCAGAAAGCTTCCTATCCCTATTGGCAGGGGAGTCTGAGGAAAGAAAACATCTTTCCTGGCTGCCCTCGGTTCTTGGGAAACTCGGTTTACCTGCAGCAAGCCCTAACAGCAAGAGAGCTTGAAACAAAATGAAAGTATTAAGTTTTGCATTCAGAAGAGAGGAAGTTGTTTACATTCCTGTATGCACAAAGGGGACCTTTGATTTGAGGGTGCTAAATGAAATGTCACTGACACTCCACTTCCCCTGTGCTGTCAGAACAGCCTATGGAGAAACACTTGAATTCCTGCCTCTGCTCAGACTCGTAGTGCTTGGTGTTAGGGAAAAACAGGCAGTGAAGATTTTCTCACTGTTTTGTCTCACACCTGAAGTGAAGTGGTACCCTAGTGGCCAGGTT